CAGCCATGTGCCCTTTTAGCCAAGAAGGCCAATGGTACCCTGGGGTACGTTAAGAAGAGTGTGGCCAGCAGGTCGAGGGAGGTTCTCCTCCCCCTCTACTCTGCTCTGGTGAGGCCACATCTGGAGTCTTGTGTCCAGTTCTGAGCTCCCCAGTTCAAGAGGGACAAGGAACTGTTGGAGAGAGTCCAGGAGAGGGCTACAAAGATGATGAGAAGACTGGAGTATCTCTCAAGAGGAAAGGCTGAGAAACCTGGGGCTGTTTAGCCTGGAGAAGCCTGAGAGGGGACCTTATCAACATTTATAAATATCTAAAGAGTGGGGCCTATGAAGAGGATGGGACCAGGCTCTTTTCAGTGGTGCCCAGTGACAGGACAAGGGGCAACGGGCACAAACTGGAGCACAGGAAGTTTCACTTGAACATGAGGAGGAACTTCTTTACTATGAGGATGGCAGAGCACTGGAACAGGCTGCCCAGGGAGGCTGTGGAGTCTCCTTCCCTGGAGGTACTCAGAACCCACCTGGATGTGATCCTGTGCAACCTGCTGTAAGTGAACCTGCTTTAGCAGGGGGATTGGACTAGATGATCTCCAGAGGTCATTTCCAACCCCTGCCAGTCTGTGATTCTCTGATTAATGGTGTATGGTTACTGTACAATTACACTATGTCAGTAAATAGGTGAAGGCAAATCTGTTGGAAAGGCACAGCTTTTCCAGCTTTTGTCTGCTTGGTTTTTTAGTCGTGGGTTTGAACCTGGCAAATTCTGAGCTGCTTCTAGAAGATAATTCCAGCAAACTCTGAATAAAATTATTTTCGAGTTGAGAAGTGGTGTAAGAGAGTAAATGAGGATTTTTCTGGGTTTATCAGGTAATGGAGGGCAAGTGTCATCAGAGTTGTGTTTTGTCTCATGCTAGTCAGAAGTTGTATTTCTAATGTTAGTACTTCACGTGATTTGTGCACTCACGTGTTTTCTCACTCTGAAAAAAATGCAGCTGGTGACTGTTAGAGACATTAATGTTTAAAAAAAGATGTTTTTTCTTTGGACTCTAGAAATCATAGTCTTCACCCAGTAGTGTTTTCACCTAGTGTTTCTTTTTAAACAATTTTGTCATGTAGTAACCTCACGGGGGGGGAAGCTAATAAGAAATGGACCACCAAAGACGATAATAGGACACTTTAAAGTAGATGTGAAAATGCTGTATGTTGTTTTTGGAAAGCTAATGATTAATTATATTCTTACTAAAAATGTTAGCAATAAATGTAAGTTGCTAGTGTCCGTTAAATGAAACTAGTGTCATTTCATGGCATAACAAAAAAGCCTCTATTTAATGTCTTAATATGTAAGGAAAAGTACTGGTGTCTTATTTCAACTTAAGATTCAGAAATACCAACTTTATTTTTAAAATTAGTTCAAGGAATTATTAAGGTATTTGTGATGGGAAACAGACTTCAGGCATAGTAAAACTAAAATTAGAAAAGTAAACCAGGCTTGATTTGTAATGTGAGTCAGAAGTCACTTCGGTTTTAGATGTTGATATTTTGCCCTGCCTTTCAATGTTTTTTTTTAAAAAAAAAAAAAAGAAACAAACCAACCCAATCAAACAAACAAAACCCACCCAAACTTTAGGTAACTCTGGGTTTGTTTGGAGTTTGTCCTAATGTGATTGAATCATACAGCGCAATGAAAAATCTGCAAGTTCCTGATGAAAAGTGTCTGTCATGAGAGTACATGCTTGCATGCACACATGAATGCAGCTGCTGAGGACAGGTGATGAAGGTCTGATTTCCTGTGCTCAGAAAGATCTTCCTGGTTTAGTATTCCTTTATCTTTCTCGTCTTTCATGTTGAGGTTCAGTGCACGTAAATCATAGTTTGTATATTAAAGAAGGCACTGCCTTTCACTACAGAACCTTCTCTCACAAATTTTTTATCATTTTTTTTCTTGTTGCTACTTAAATCGGTACACTGCCTTTTTCAGATGGATTTGTCCTACCGAGGATTTCTGGCAGAGGCGGTGGGGGCGGTTGCGGTGGCGCCCAGCTGCTGCCAGCCGGTGTCACTGTGGAGCGGAGGGGACCGGTGGTGGCGCGGTGCTCTTGGGTTTGCCGCTCTGAACGGCTGCTTCTGTCTTTTGTCACAATTAAGCTGAAGTCCTTTCTGCAGCTTCTGTTACAGCTCTGTAGACTTGGGCGTACGGAGTGATGACTCCCTGACACACTGTGTAACACTTTTCTGTCCCAGATGGGCAGGTTGTGTCTGTGAGTCAGCATGCACATTTTTTGGAGAAAAGTTTTGTAACTCTACAGAGGCATAAGTCCTCTGTCACTCTGGAAGCTTCATTTTAAATGAAAGAAGAGGGTTGGGTTTCCTTCTTTTTTTTTTCCCCTTTTTTTTTGGGGTGGGGGTGGTGGTGGTGGTGAGTGCATGTGAGTTTGTGTGCCCCGCTTTGTACGCTCCTTTGAACAGCATCAGCAGGCAATTAAATAGAAGTTGTGCAACAAATACTTATAATTTATTACTATAAAATACATATTAATTACATTTATTCTTCTTTTGTCTTTTGCCTTGCAGACCAGAATCTGTAGAAGCTAGCCCCGTGGTAGTTGAAAAATCGAACAGTTATCCACACCAGTTGTATACCAGCAGCTCGCATTCACACAGTTACATTGGTTTGCCCTATGCAGTAAGTTTCACATTAAATATTCTGTGTAAAATGGATAATGTAAAATCTGCTGTTCTTAATTGGAAAAACTCTGAATCATGCTTACATTTTTGTATCTCATTGGGAGTTGCATAAGTTGACTGAAGATGGTTGATTAAAAGCAGAATGCAGAACATAGTGAACTTACATGTAAAACGTAGTTGAGAAGGTAGAAAACAAGAATGAACAATGACAGAAACAAAACTTTATTACTAAAAAATAAGTCTCTGAAGTTCTTTACAAAGTAGATTCTTATATGGCTTAAATAACAGTTAGTGAATGGACATTTAAGAGCTGTAACTTATCTTTCAACAAAAATCTAGGACCATAACTATGGTGCTCGGCCTCCTCCAACGCCTCCAGCTTCTCCTCCTCCAACAGTGCTTATAAGCAAGAATGAAGTAGGCATATTTACCACTCCCAACTTTGATGAAACCTCCAGTGCTACTACCATCAGTACGTCAGAGGATGGAAGCTATGGAACTGATATTACCAGATGCATTTGTGGCTTTACGCATGATGATGGATATATGATCTGTTGTGACAAATGCAGGTAATGGATATTAAATTAATTTAAAAGGTAAAAATTACTTAAAACTTAAAGCTGCACTGAAAGTAAGTTGTAACTAAATGGTATTTTAATTATGTCAAGTCATAGGAAATTTCCTTCCATCAAAACAGTGTTTGGTTGTATGGCTTTCTGATAGGCAAGGCAGTTGGTTAAGGGTAGTGAGTATTTTATACTTTATTCCAGTCTGTCGACTAGTTATATTAATTTGTGCATGCTTTAACTTGTGCGTTGTTGCTTAATAAGGGTATATCTTTCCCCTCTAAAAAGGATATCTCTTTGATATTTTGTCCAAGTTATTGGTTAGCATGGTGAAGTAAAGACCTAGGGATTTGTTCGTAATCAGCATGTACTGAGAAATAAAGCATCTTGGTAAATGATGTGTATGTAAGTCAAGTAACTTGGAGGATGCAAAATAATCTGAAAGAAACTTCTGAAATACTGGTTCTTTCTGCATGATCTTTCTGATAAGAACTCTTAATTTTCAAAGGACATATTTTTAAGAATTTTAGTCACTATGAAAAGACTGATCTAGAGTTACTGGAGAAGCTGAAGTTAAATGTTTAAACTTCTGTGTTCATGCTTAAGCACCTACTTGATTATAGTAAAATAAGCGGGTGCTATTAAATACTTGGACTTTGAGCTTAGAAAATTTTAGAGCCGATATACTTACCAGAAGACAAATCTTATGTTTCTGGACTTAGTATTAGCTTGTGTTTTTACATTCAGTATGCTTAATGAACACTGCTGAATTTATTAGATCATCCTGTATTTCTAAAATTATTGTTACGGCTAATTAAAACATTAATTTGAGCTTCCTTTTTCTGTCTGTTTATGTAACAAGCTTGTTATTAATTTTTGATGGTCCTTGGTTCTGATAACCTTTTCACTTATTTTGAAATGTATTTAGATGTTCTTCCAGCAATGGAGCTGTAGACAGTCACCAGTTAGGTAGAGTCTGCTTCTTTTGAAGAAGAGATTTTCTGTGAGGAGTGGAGGGAGTTGTGGTAAATTCACAAGTGGGAGGATAACAATGGCTTTTGTGTCCCAGTTCCTTCTAGCAATGTGGGGATGAGCCTAAACTACTGTCCTAGGTTAGCCTTCAGTCTAGCAAGCAGCCTCTCTTCCCTGACTCTGGGAAGCAGTTGAAGCTCATCCTGTGCTGCACAACAGTGCTACCAGTCATGTGTGGGGTGTGTATAAAAACATACGAATATATGTCCTATTAAAATATGTAAGTAAATAGAACCTTATATTTGCATATATATTTTTACATGTATAAAAATACTATTTTTCTATATATGTATTTATAAAAGGAAACAGAATCCTTTTGTTTAAAACCAAAACTGTTACTATGTAAAGCGTAAGTCTTGTTACTGAAGATATTTGTGTCTGTCTTGTTCTTTATTGTGATAATTTACCATTTTTTATTTCCATTGTTAGAGAAAAATTTCCAAGAGGGAAAGTGAGTCTAAAGAAGCAGAGAGACACCGGGAGACAGCCACGAGATTGGAATTACAGTGATCAGTGGAATAGAAAATCAGCTAGCGGAGTGGTGGTGAAGACAGTGATTGAGATGTAGATTTAGGCAGTATTAACTAAACCTGAGTAAAGATTGTGATGAAAAAAAGAACGGCTCTGTCCGTTTGTACTTAATTGTAGTTCAAATTAAAAGGTAATTTTGGTTTTGGTGTGTTTTTTTTTTAAGTGTCTGGCAGCACATTGACTGCATGGGGATTGACAGGCAGCACATTCCTGACATATATCTGTGTGAACGTTGTCAACCAAGGTGAGTAGTTTGATTTGAACTCTAGATAACTAGATTGAGTAGAATATATAAAAAGAGGAGGTACTGGAACAACCAACAGATGTTACACAGACCGTGTAGTGTAATCCTGACAATTCTAGTTAAAAGGAGCTGCATTTCTGATGCAGATGATCTTACCAGTCTCCATTCCCTTGTTCACAGTAGTCATTGTTTCACCTTACCTAGGCAGCAGGGATAAACCCTTGAAACACTTACCGAAATAGCAATGATTCTGGGATCCTTTCTCAGGTGGAGTGATGCATAGACAATCCATTCCATATTTCATTTCTTGGCTGTCATACACTGAGAACCCTTAACAGCAGTGTTCTTAGGTCAGCTGGCCCACCAGTATTTCTCAGTGTCTTTTGTTTTTATGGCCTCATTTCAATACACTGCAGCGCTCACTTGGAGGATTTCTTACTCTGGAATGAGTATTTGTATGCCCCCCTCAAGCTTGAAGTTGTATGACATGAGAAGGAGGGCATTTTGTTCTAACTGTGTGGTAGGTAGATTATACCTGACTGTCATTGTAGTTGGGCTCTGTTGTGGAGTATAAAATGTTGCAGATTGTCAGTTAAACAGTGAATGACACATGCATGTTCACAACTTCTTAATTATGACTTATTTCTGAGAAATAGTTTGGACCTTGTTGTAGAGTATTTGGTTTGTATTGTATTGTGACTATTGTATTGAAGAATCTACAGGAAAATGGTTTAATGCCTGCTTATCTGTAATCCGTGGACCAACTGTCAGTCTTTCTTCTGAGCTATACAGTTTCTTTATGTTTTCAAGTGATTTGGATACTTACGTGTGCTTTGCATTACAATGAAATGGAACAGTGCACAACTGATGTTTTTCTAATTATCTAAACACTGTTTATTCTGTAATAGTCAGTGGAAAATGGTAACTATGAAAAGGTCTTAGTACTTAGATGCATTGATGTATAAGTGTGAAGAATGGAATAAATTTTTTTTTTTAATTTCAGGAGTTTAGATAAAGAAAGGGCAGTGCTATTGCAACGAAGGAAAAGGGAAAATATGTCAGGTGAGTAAAGCTTAAAGATTTTTCCCTAGTAAAGGTTGTAAAATAAGTGTATATCGACTGTATTGACTTAAGAGTGTATACACAGTTCCTGCGATTTTGATAGCCTTCAGCATATAGGGTTTGGTAAATCAGTGCCTTCTACTTGACTTTATTGTTACTAAGATAGAATATATCAGAATTGTTGCATTTCTATGTGTTTTTTAAAGGTTGTCACCACTGCCTTTTTTTTGTTGTCATTGTGGAATAATTCAGTCTGAACCTTGTCAAAGTTTCATAATAATGAATGTAGCTTTTAGAATAACTAGACTACTTCGAATAAGCTACTGAAGGCAAGATAGAAAAGGTTCAAGTTTCTTCTGCCATAAGAGAGAATTACTAAGTCTAGTTTCTTTTTGTAAAATAATAATTTCACAACTCTGTCAGTTTTTCCTTCGTAGTATAGACTATGCGTATCCTCATACTGATCTCATAAAACTATTCCGTTGCAGGTGATACTCCTGTCCCTAAGAATTTTATAATTGAGATGTAAAACATTCCAGCATGATTTTGAGAGGGAATCCTTATTCTGATTTGTTGGCTGTAGATTTGTGTGTGTTGGTATGTTTTTGGGTTTGTTTTGACAGCAGGAAAAATTGCTAAACTCAGGTAATGCAATTATATGGTGCTTAGGGTTTTTTTTTCCCTTTGATAACTAGATGAGGCTTGTAGTGCAAGTACCTATTTCAGGCTTTGTATTTTATGAAATCCACTCTCCTGCCACTTACAGAATTTCAAACTCAGCTGGCCTAACTTGTTAGGAGCTTTGTCCAGCCAATAGCAGAACGTGTTTCAGGTTTCTTGATTGACAGGTGATACTTTCAAGCTCAATTACGAAAGTTGTAATTGGGGAGGAAATCATCCTCTTAAACTTGACATGTTTTGCTTTCAAATCATGTCTCTGAAGTAGTATATACAAGTCTGTGTGTGCTAAGATTTCTTTTAAAAATACTACATAGGTAAGGTCCTGCTGCCTACTTCATCTGCCCTCAGAAAATTCTGAAGTGTGTGATGTGGCCTAGAAGTGTGTGTGGCTTAGTAGTGCTTCTTGGTGTGGTTGACACTTTCTGCTGTCCAGTGCTAAGCTGCCTTAAGTCCCTTAAAAGCGTGAATGACTTACTTAGAAAACCACAGTCATTTTTTTCTTTTGTCTGTTTCCATTATAACAAAACCAAACTTTGTAAAGTTTTGGTTGACCTGCTAGACAACACAAATATTTTTTAGAATTAAAAATTAATTTTTGCTGATTCTATTAAAATAATTAATTTGGAGTTAATGAGTTCACATGTGTGTTAAGATGATATTGTGAGAACTTAAATTTACGTACATGGTAGGGGAAGTTGATGGTCTGAGCTATTTAAGTCATCTCTTAGGATTTGTAGCCACGCTATCTGATTATTTACTGTAAACTTAAGGGAAGAGAGAGTTAAAATCTTAGCAGGAGCTGAAGAGATTTTACTTTGAAGTTAGTATTCTGCCCTCGTTAATCCTGATAATCTGTCTTTAAATTGGTTCTATGCGTTCAGTGGAAAAGAAATACTAAATGGTAGATCTGAAGTGTCAAAAGAGAGTAAAAACAAAGATAAATTCTAATCCTGTTTAGTCCAAGACTCAGTTGAAGTGCAATATTAATTACTATGTTTATAATGCATAACTCGCAATGAACGTACGCTTGCATCTCTAGTTAATTTTCATTTAGCCAATTCATTTACTTGGCTAAATGCACTTTTTGTATGTTGACTTCAATATACATGCTTCAGTCAGACTTAAGGTAATTCTGGGTGTGAACTGTCTACCATGAGACATCAGTAAAAATGGTCAGTTTTCATAGGTGTTTTTCTATTCAGTGTTTTTGAGTATTCAACAGTAGCAGAATGTTACTTGTAACTTACTTTGTGATAAGTTGCAGGTGTTTGATTAAAGGTAAGGTTGTGTTGTTTGGGTGTTATTGGATGACTGAGTATATAGACATATAGGGCTTTTTCCTTTAGGCTTGCGTGTAATAGGGCTTTTCATTTAGCTATGAGACTGTGTTACAGTATAATGGTTTTTATTGTAAAGATTTATAAAGAGTTGCTGTTTTAGCCATTTTGCATCCAAAGCAACACAGTAGGGAGCAAGTAGTAGATCAGTTGGTTTGCCTCAAGAGAAGAGCTTTTAGGTGAACATTTTGCATGGTATAAAATTTGGTGAGAGTCTTAAACTGTTAGGCGTCATCTTTTTCTTTTTTTTTTTTTCTTTTTTCCTGGCAACAGTTCTATAGCCCATTGTTTCGGGGCCTGTGTTTGTGTGTGGTGGTGTTGGTGGTGGTGGTGTTCTGATATGCAGATGTAATTCTGACACAGCTCACTGTGCGTTGG